AGACTTATTCACTGTAGTCTTGTCTGTTTTCAGGAGGCTAAGCAGAGGCAGCAAGGGGACAGGAAACAACATCCACGTTAATCATGCAGCCCCAGTCAAGGCGTGCTTTGGGTGATCGTCAGTTCAGCTCTGGTTCTGCCAAGTAGAACAAGAAGTCGTTTTTATTCAAGGGGACAGTCATTCGTGGTGGGTAACCGTCCTCCTCTGGGGAGGGGGGCATCTGTCCTAGCTCATGATTGCTGGGGGCGCATTCCATTGTATAAGCATGTTCGCTAACCAGTCCTGTAGTTCGAGGAATCCAAGGTGACTATGTGAGAGAGTGACCACCAGGGAGGGAATGGAAGACAGGAAACAGAGCTCAAAGCAGATGAGTGGATCTGGGCCTGCAGCTCCTACCCTCCTTGATACTCCTGATACCCCCAACCTGTTTCTAGGCTGTGCAAATCAAAGGTTCTACAATATGTCTCTCTGAGAATTGAGCTGTGTTCACCCTCCCGTGGATAGCGGATGCTCAGCCCACACGATGTCTTGGCCAATCAGTCGTCAGCCTGGGCTCCCAGCCTTCAACACCTGACTTCTGAGGGGGAAGCATTCTCTGCATCAGATCATCAGATCGGAGCAGGCAGGTGGGTACGAACCCACCCAACCCCAGCTATGTCGTTCTGCGGCTAACAAGCTTTGGCTGACACTGAGTGGAAAGGGGCAGTTTAACTTCCTGCCACCGTGAGTCTGTGGCAGGTGGGCAAAGGCAGGGAGCAGAGGCAGAGCTCCTGAGGAGGCCCGGGGTGTCACTTGGGCCTTCGGAGCAGGCCCTCACTCCATGCCAGTCCCCTTCTCTGCTCTTCCCTCAACTGTTCTCCCCTCCCCCACTGCGTCCTTTGTGTGTGTGAGAGAACTGTAGAGCGGCACACATCACACATTTTCACACAGCTTCAGAATACACGCTCTGAGAACGAGCCAGGCCACTCAGGCCTCCTCCACCTGTTCGCCAGTGCCCACTGATTACATTTTTGGCTTTCCAACTGTCTCCTGCAGCTAAGTTGTCAGACACAGAAATGAATTAGCGAAGCCACATACAAAATAGCCTCTTCAACAAATGGATCCGGCAAAACTAGATATCCATCTTCAGAACATTATCAGATCCATATATTTCACCCCACACAAGATCAACTTAAACTGGATCTAAGAACTTGATTTAAAACCTGAAGCGAGGGGCGTGGTAACGTCTACCTGTGATCCCAGCACTCGAACGAAGGCAGAGGCAGGCAGATCTCTGTGGCTTCCAGGCCAGCCTGATCTACAAAGCAAGTCCAGGACAGCCAAGGCTACCAAAGAGAAACTCTGTCTTGAAACAAACAAACAAACAAACAAACAAACCAGCAAGTGCTGAAGGCTGCCTTCCCCTGTGAGGAGGCCTGTTTTGTTGGAGTGAGGAATGTGTGGGGAGTGTAAGTTGGGGTGAGGGGTGGAGGGTGAGTGTGGGGGCAGGGCTGTAGTTCCCATCTCTTGCCATAAGGATGTTTATTAGCCCATCCTATCACACAAACAACTGCAAAAATTAAACACTGTAAAACCCTAAACTGACGATCATCAATGGGCTAATATAGCACAGACATTCTCAAAAGAAGACACACAAATGGTCATTAAACGTTTTTTTTTGTTGTTTTGTTGTTGTTTTTTTTTTTAAATTAGAGGCAGGAGGATCTCTGTGAGTTCCAGGCCAGTCTGGTCTACAGAGTGAATTCCAGGATAGCCAGAACTACATAGTAAGACTCTGTCTGGAAACAAAACAAAGCAAAACAAAAGTTGTTCAACACCACTAGCCGTCAGGGAAATGAGCACTAAAGCTACTTTGCTAATCCCACCTCATCCTATTCCCAACGGTCATCACCAAGGAAGCTGGCAGCAAAGGCTGGCACGGATGTAGGGAAAGGGGAATCCTTACTGGCTGCTGGAGGCAGTATGCCGAGGTGTGGCCACCAAGGAAACCAGTGTAGAGCTTTCAGAGCTAGGATTAGAACTGCTGTGTGACCCAGCTCTGACCCTCCCAGGCATGTACCTAAAGGACTTTGGCCTCCTACAGAGACACCTGTTCACTGCTGCTCTAGCGCAATAGCTAGGAAATAGAATCAGCCTTAGCTGCTGCCCAGATCACAGCACTGTGGTGCACGCACACTGGAAATCTGTTCAGCTGCAAAGAAAACTGAAAGTTTCAGGAAAACAAATGGAGTTAGGAAGTAGTACAGTAAACAAGGCGGCCCAAGCTTGGGAACCAAAAGCTTCATGTTCTCGCCCATATGAGGATCGTAGTTTGTAACGTAGACACGTGCGCAAATGACGGGAAATGTGGGTAAAGCGGAAAACACTAGAAAAGAAGTGAAGAGAGTGTAAAAAGAGGTTCTGAGGAAGGGGGGAGGGGTTGAGTGCAAAGAACACGTGTGATATGAAAGCAGAAAGCTGGGGTTGGAGGAGGGAGAGGGTGGAGATAAAGGAGGAGGAGAATTATCTATAATGCACTTTATTCAACAATGCCACCATGATGCTTGCATTCTGATTGAAAAAAAATGAATTAAATTTTAGAAGTGTCCTTTAAAAATATAAAACCATGGCTGGGCACAATGGAGTGCAGTTTTAATCCCAGCACTCTAATGGCAGAGGCAGGGGGATCTCTGTGAGGCCAGCCTGGTCTGCACCGTGAGTTCTAGGACAGCCAAGAACACATAGGGAAACCTTGCCTTTAAAAATCACACACACACACACACACACACACACACACACACCCTTTCTGTCTGCTGAAACATTGATGATTGGGCAGGAAGCCAGGACATGATCACAGGCTATGAGGACTATGAGGGGCCAGCTTTAATGGGAGCCCCAAAAGAGGGGCCAAGATTGATTACCACGGAGATATTTACAATGATAATTATGACCATGGACAAGAACATGGAGTCAAGAGCCAAACTCTCACATAGTGAAGAGAACTTATATTTAGCTAGAATCTTGCTGTGTAGCCCAGGCTGGCCCAGCTCTCAATGTTCTCCTGCCTCTTCTGAGTGCTGCTCTGCCAGGCTAGGAAAATCTCTCTCTCATTGGGTGGTGAGGGCACACACATCTTTAGTCCCAGAGCTAGGAAGGCAGAGACAGGAGAATCTCTGTGTTTGAGGCTAGCCTGGCTACACAGAGAAACTCTGTCTGCGTGCACACACACACACACACACACACACACACACACACACACACACAGTTTTGTCATATATATAATATTTAATATATATATATATATATATATATTTTTTTTTTTTTTTTTTTTTTTT